AACCAACAGATCTGTGTTGGAAGAAGTGCAGCCAGAGTGCTCCTTGGAGGCCAAGATGGCCAAACTTCATCTCTCATACTTCAGACATATTGTCAGGAGGGTACATTCGCTAGAGAAGGATATCATGCTTGGTAAGGTGGAGGGTCAGACAAAAGAGGAAGACCCCCCAGCGAGATGGATTGGCAAAATGGCAGTATCAATGGGCTCAAGTGTAGTAACAATTGTGAAGTTGGCCCAAGACCAGGCAGTGTTTGTTTTGTTGTGCAGAGGGTCGCTATGAGTTGGTACTGACTCCATGGCACCTAACAACAACAACAACAATCCATGGTATTTGTTGTTGTTGTTAAGTGCCGTCAAGTCGGTTCCAACCCATAGCAACCCTGTATAGAGTTTCCAAGGAGAAGCTGGTGAGCCTGAATCACTGACCTTGCAGTTCAGATGGCGTTGCAGTCTGTGCACCCACAGTGCCACACCAGAACTCCATCCATGGTATTGTTGTTGTTATGTGCCGTGGAGTCGTTTCCGACTCATAGCGACCCTGTACAGGGTTTGTGAGGCTATAAATCTTTATGGGAGCAGAAAGCCTCATATTTCTCCCGTGGAATAGCTGGTAGTTTTGAACTGCTGACAGTCAGATTAGCAGCCTGATTTGTAACCACTATGCTACCAGAGCTCCTTGGTATATACAGTATTATTTTGCCAATACCATTAACTAAGATACATCAGGTCTCTGGTATTCCTTACTCATTGTCCAGCTTTAGCATGTATATGAAGTGCCTGGACAGGTCCTGTGATTTGGGTAAGGCGCACCTTAGTTCTCAGGGTAACGTCTTTGCTTTTTACACTTTAGAGAAATCTTTTGCAGCAGATTTTCCGGATGCAGTGCAGCATTAGAAACCCTCTGGGGTAGTTCTGCTCTGCCCCTCAGATTCACTGTGAATTGGAATCAACCTGGCAACAGATTACAGGGTGTATTCTATGAGGACAATACATAACTAGCAACTGCTTGTTAATAAAATTCTGTAATCTTTGTTCAGTATTAAACAATCAATTTGTAACTTCAGTCTAAAACCCCCAAACAGTGTTTAATGATAATCATAAACCAAAAGATGAGTGAGGTACCTATGTTGCTAAAGTGTCGCTAGTAGATTTAGTGGGAACATAAAGCTGTTTGGCTAAATGTGAAACAAGTTCAGGGTATCTCTCCTGCTTTAACTTCCTGAGATTATTTCCCTGTGCTATCTCAGATTCGTTCCCTTCCAATCCCGATGCAGTCCTGGTGTGGCACTGGGACTGCAAAGGCGGTTTGAATCACAAGGTGGCGGTTCCAGCTCACCAGCTGCTCCTTGGGAACCCTATGCAGGGTTGCTGTGGACTGGAACCTACTTGATGGCACTTCCCAACACCAATAATCCTGATGGCCGTGGCGTCCTCTGTACTGACTGCACACGATACTTTGTTTCTCATGTGTTTGATTAATCAGCTTCTACCTGAACGTTCCGAAAAACATTTCCCTGTGTCGATGTGATTCATGGGGCCTCCTGATGTGGTGTTGGAGGATCAGCACTGGACAGTGAGCCACAAGGTCGCCGGTTCAAGCCTCCCAGCTGCTCCTTGGGAACCGTATACAGGATCGCTATGAGTCAAAACTGTACCAATGGCACTTAACAACAACAACGTGTGATTGATGCAGGAGAAAGCTGAGGCTTCCTGCTCCCATAAAGATTTACGGTCCCGGAAGCCCTGTGCAGGGCGCCATTGATCAGAACCCACTCCAGGGCAGTGGGCTGAGTTTTTAATACGATTAATATTAAGTGATCGCTTTCTGAAATAGGCTGTAAAATTGACATATGGTCTTTTTTGGGTTTTTTTCAGGCTTATGATGACAAAGATTATAGACAAATTCGGTTTGTAGGTCGTCAAAAAGAGGTGAGTACCTTCTCATCGCTCTGGTGGCATAGTGGATTAAGTGTTGACCTGCCAACCAACCATAAGATTGGGGGTTCAAGTCATCAGCCTCTCTAACAGAGAAAGATGATACTATTTGCTCCCAAATCTTTTGCTTCCGAGATTTCTAGTCCTGGAAACGTAAGGAGCCGTTCCACTCCATCCTGCAGAGGGTCCTTCTGGGTTGGAATCGCATTAATAGCAGAGTTTGGTTTTTCTCTTTGGAGTTTATCTAGTAAAAGAAAGGTATACTGGCATAAAGTTTTATGTAACCAACAAGGAATCAAAATCATATAAGATTCCATATTTAAATAAAATTTCCCAAAATTGTGATAACTTTAGAAACGCTGGAATTCTTCAAAATGTTAAATGTGTTCGTTTCTAGGTTGTTTGCTTATGTTTTTCCTTGAAAAACGTAGCATCAGATTTTGTCATTGTATTTCTGTTTCATATATATATATATACATAAGTGGCAATGATCTTTCATCTTTGTTCTTTATCACGTCGTTAAAAAATGACTCCTGTAGTCATCTTGCGGGCTATGCTTTTCCTAGTCCTCACCCAGTAAGTTCGGGATGTCCACTGACATTGCTGGACACCACACAGATTCGTTCCAGAGTGGGTCTAACAATTGTACATCTTTGAGTCCTAATACCCAACTCACGTGTGACGGCGGGAGAGAGAAAGGGTGGGACTGGACTCCTGCCTAAACAGGTCTGCTCCCAACAACTGCTGCCCACCCCTCACGCCTCCCAGCCACCGGGATCCTCATTCCGTATTAGTTCGCACAGTGTTCCGTGGTTTCCTGATTTCTGTTTGTCCCCCATAGCCTTCTGCAGTCACAGCCCGTCCCCAGTCTTGTCCTGATCTTGGAAACCTGGGTCCTTGCAGCGTCTAGGTCTGCTACTTGTGTCCCTGAGCTACGAGCACTCCAGAGTCACAATCATGCTTGCCTCATAAATCTCTGCTCCCTGCTCTGCGGACTAGGTGACAGAGATATTCTGATTTTGCCTGTAAATGCTGCTCCTTGAGTGGTGGGCTGAGAGGCTTCCTGAGGCCTTGCTGGTGCAGTGCAGAAGCGAGTCCCGATGGACGAGTGACATGTGCCGTGGGCCTCCTGTGCAGTAGATTGGCCTCCCTGCTGTCATGGAGTTGTGTGGGCCCGGTGGCCCAGTGCACAGTGGCCGGTGTGGTTTGTTCTTCTGGAAATAAGTTTTCCTCTCTTGTAAAATGGAAATCACGACAGTCATTTCTGCTGACTCCCTGAGCATGAAATGAGGGGCATGTGCATCATCTAGGGAAGGTGTGGTCTGTGGCAAGCCCCCCTCAGGATCCCTTCTTACTTCCTCGTTCGTGAGACTTGCTCCTGTCTTTCCATGACATGACTTTCTCCAACCCCTTAGCCTAGCGTCTCACAGCATTGAGCGACTGGCACTTGGAATGAGACAGTTCCCGGTGAGATTGCCCTGTCCGCCCCTGGAGGCTCAGGGCTGACTTTCCGAGCAGCCAGGCTTTGGGATGGGAGTCTGTCTGCAGGGTCGCCTCTCCTGGGCCTTGTTGGGATGTTCTGGCGCTTGGTGGGTGTGGTGGTGCAGTGATGGGGGTGTCCCTCAGATGGTCTCAGGTGCATATTGAGAGTAAGGGAGATGGTAGTGCCCCTGACAGGTGGGCTCAGTGCACACAGAGTGTAAGGATGGAGGCACGTTTGTGTAACCACACACCTGTGTGAGGGCCTGGGTGTGGTCAGTCTGGGCCCCCACTGCCCTTGTGCACGCAGGCTTTGATGCTCTCAGGCTCAGTGTGCCTCTGTTTCCTCTTGTACTGCCCTGGTAATGCACATCCCCTCAGGCACTGTGGGCTCTGATCCTATATGGACAGGGAAGAATGAAAGCAGCCCCTGTCCGGGGACGCAGCGGCTAGCCTCTGCCTCGTTCAGAGAGGTCCTGCCTTCTGAAGCAGAGTGTTTTAGGGTGGGCTTCGGCCTAGAGACAATGCAGGGCACACACCCTCTGCTGGGGTCACAAGTTCTCCCTGTATTGTGGCAGCCCGTGGTGCTTTTCCTGGTCATCTGCTTGGTGTTTGGGGAACAAGATGGTAACTGCCCAGTTCACCAGCCATCTACCTGTCTGTCTGTGTCAGCTTCTACCAGGAGGAGTGAGTGGAAGTCTTGTCCTGAGCCTGTGGAGGCAGCATTTCAGGGCGCCTCTCAGTGAGAGCCGAGATGCGCCTGCCCACCTCTCCCACCTGAGCTCCCGAGCACACGCGGCTGGGCAGCATGGGGACTGGCCTGCTGCTGCAGGGATACAGGGATTTACCCTGCAGGACCCAGAGGAAGATATTTGAGAATCAGAATTCTTAGACCCCTAGGATCCAGAGATCAGTGGCTCAGTCAGTAAGCTGTGTGCAGGTGCTCAGAGTTCGTCCCTCAGGGTGGCTTCCCTGCCTTTCTTTGTGTCTTGCACCCACAAGATGAGTCATCTCGGGGCTCCATCACCCCCACAGCACACTCAGTCTACTCAGAGCAGGCAGCTCCGCTTACTGACTTGGAGCATGTTCCGATGAAAAGCTCAGAGTTGACTGTGTTATAAAATTACCTGGACTCACACATCAGTGTTTTAGTTCAGTGTGACTGTTGGCATTGAACTGGGATTATCGGTTGTTTGTAGTGACCCGTGTCTGTAGCTCAGGTCACTCCCTATAGACCCCCGATTCTTCTGCTGGCCTACTGCTCCTGCCTTTTGTGCACTGACTCTGACACTGAAATCAGATCTCTATTTCATCCCTGGAGGACTGACCTCCCATGGACGTGAGGGAAGCAAACATCCCTTCGGAAGGGCCGCTCCCCAGGGTGGTTAATAGAGAACAAGTTAAAGACAGCGAGAATAGACTCTTAGAAAAGAACTGAAGCCCATGTAGTTTTATACTCTCAGTCGTCTTTCAGGAGACAGATGAAAGGGTTGTTCTGGAGTTTTTGTGTTGACGCACAAAAGCCTGGTTTTACAGCGGTTGCACAGTTGAGAGTGTGTGACATACGATGTGCTCCATGTCCAGCCACGGGCAGGCCAGTTGGAGACTGGCCACGCTCTCTGCTGACTGCCCCCCGGCCCCCCACAGGTAGAAGCCGCTGGCTAGGGTTGCCCGCGGTCATGCATGCGATGTGTGTGGTGACGGGGTGAGCGAGTCCCAGGCAGCAGACATGGATGCTGGACGGCCCCAGTGACGGCAGGGCATTCCCGTGCCAGTCACAGGTGTCAGGGCGCCAGGCGGGCACATCTCTCCAGCTGCCGTGGCAGAACCTGTGGGTTTGTTAGTGTGGCCTCCGTGACACAATGTCACTGGTGTAGACGTCGGATGATTGAGACCAGAAGGCTCCGTTTGTGTGGTGGGCTGCTTCGTCTGAGCCGAGGTGAACAGAGCATCTGTCATCCCAGGCTCGCCGGGAGGGAGGCGGCAGCCAGCAGCTGGCAACAAATGCACGATGTTTGAAGGAGCATGGCAGGCCATCCTGGGAGAAGCTCACACTGCCGGGCGCCTTGGGCTTCATAGCTTCCCATTGTGTCCACAGCACTACAGCTGTAGGGACAGGGATCGCAGCTTTCCTCATGCTCTGCTGTCAGCCTAGAGGGAGGGGTGCTGTCAGTCCCCTGGCGGGCGGGGGTTGTACACGAGTCTCACTCTGTCTCGGGGGGGTGTTGTACATCAGTCTCACTCTGTTAGGGGGGAGGTGTACACGAGTCTCACTCTGTGTGTAGGGGGGGTGTTGTACATCAGTCTCACTCTGTCTCGGGGGGTGTTGTACATCAGTCTCACTCTGTTAGGGGGGAGATGTACACGAGTCTCACTCTGTGTGTAGGGGGGGTGTTGTACATCAGTCTCACTCTGTTAGGGGGGAGGTGTACGCGAGTCTCACTCTGGGGGTGGGGGGGATGTTGTACACGAGTCTCACCCTGTTAGGGGGGAGGTGTACACGAGTCTCACTCTGGGGGTGGAGGTGGTGTTGTGCATGGGTCTCACTCTGACTCTGTCTCGGGGGGTGTTGTACACAAGTCTGCGTCCGTTTGAGGGGAGGTATCTATGACTCTGTCTCCATTGGATGTTGCATCTCACCTGTCTTTATGTCAGAAGAAGCTCTGGTTGTGAATGAGCGTGCAGGTGAGGTGCCTCTAGCTTGTGGTCCTCTTTCAGAGTACACTGGCTTTAGAAAATCATTAACTGAGGTTCACAGTTCTTTGAACTGTTTCTAAGATTTTCCTAAAATGGTGCCGTCTTGCCAGTTGTGAAGACTGGCTAGGCCAACTGTGTTTTCTTGCCTTCAGTAAACACGAGCCAGCCGACCATTGAGCACATGATGGGAATCAGTATCACAGGGGGCACGACACCCGAGAGGGGACGGGGTGCACCATCACTGACCCAGCTGTGGGAACAAGCACACACACACACAAACGGAGAACTGTTAGGGTGTGGGAGATTGGGGGACACTCGAGTCTTAGTACCCGGCGCTGCTGTACCACAAATGCCACCGGTGGGATTTAGAGTCCAAGAAATTCTTCTCTCTGCTCTGGAGGCTGACCCCTCGGTCAGGGCCTCACGGGTGGGGTCCTGTTGGCAGCCTCTCCTAGTTTCCGGTGCCAGCTGGTGACCCTTGGCCTTCCCTCACATTCCTTCCCCGTGCTTGGTGTGTGTCTTCTGCGTGTGGCCTGGGCCTACTTTGTTTTCTTGTCCTCACAATACACTAAACAGAAGTGATTAGGGTTTGCACATACACACACACACACACACACACACACTCATTCTGATTGTTGTTAAGTGCCGTCGAGTTGGTTCTGACTCATGGCAACCCTGTAGAGGTTTTCTGAGGAGTGACTGGGGAGCTTGAAGTGCTGACCTTGTGGCTGAAACCAACCTTGCAGTCCAGTGCTCATCCTGCAGTCACCAACTTCAGTAAGGGCAGTACTGGCATGAACACGTGTCCTGTGTTGGACTGTATGAAGGGCCTACTCTGGGAGGAAAGGAGCTCTGGAAGTCGGGCTGATCATCTCAAGGTCACTGGTTCGAAACTATCAGCCATTCTTCAGGAGAAACATGAGACTTCCTGCTCCCGTAAAGATCTATATCCTTGGAAACCCTATACAGGCTCGCTATGAGTCGGAACCAACTTCACGGGCCACCCCCACCACCACTCAGATAGGAACTTGTTAACTTAACAAAAGAAAAACCCGCTCTCCAAACAGGATCACATGCACAGGTACAGGACCAGGCCTCAGTACGTGGTTGTTTGTGTGTGTTGAGGGGGACGGATAACACAGTTCAACCCCAAACATCTTTTTATGTCCGTATTGCATTTACTGAAGTTGCTAACTGCATTAATGTATGGGTATGCGAGATAATATCTATATGGACTACACACTGAAGTAGTTTGTGGAAGAATCCTATCATCTGGTCATTCCATCTAGCCCTGAACTTTTGGAAACCCCTTGTATTTAAAAAAGCAGAAAGCCATCATCTATGTCAGTTACTCTCATGTGGCTCAGTGGGGAAGCGTGTCTGAGTCAGAATTGATTGGACGGCATGAGTGTGGCTTTTTGATTGTGGTGGAAAGAGAGGAGGGAAGGAGAGAGGAGCACAGAGGGGGCCATGCTCAGGTAAGTAGTCATCCAGGTCCAGAGCAAAGTGAATGAAGGCAGGCTTCTCTGTACTGCTGTAACTCTTGCCAGGTGTGTCAGTGTGTGGTGTTGTTGTTGTGAAGTGCTGTTGAGTCGATTCCAACCCATAGCGACCCTGTATATGCTGTCCGAGGAGCGACAGGTGGGTTTGAACCACCAGCCTTGAGGTTAGCAGTCCAGTTCTGGTCGTATGGTGCCACCGCAGGACTCTTGTACCCAAGTGAAAAAGGGACTGTGTGTGTGTGTGTGTTGTGGGTGGTGGACTTACTTTTAGTGGAATTGTGTGTGTATCCTGAAGGTCTAGAAGGATCCTGTGGAGACGGAAAGGACAGACTGGGTCTGTGCTGAGAGCACACGCGTCTCTGGGAGCTTGTCCACACAACCCTTTCTTCTCATGCAGGTGAATGAGAACTTTGCCATTGAGCTGATTGCCGAGCAGCCCGTGAGTCAGGTGGAGAGCCGTGTGATATCCTGTGACGGCGGGGGAGGCGCCCTGGGCCACCCCCGAGTGTACATCAACCTGGTACTGTGACCTCCTCCGTCCCCTTCTCTTCAGCCTGTTCTGCTCCTCCGCTAGGGGCCAGCGTCCACCTCCACCTCCGGCTCCCGCCTTCTTTCCTAATCAGTTCCTGCTCAGGTAGCCCTTCCACCCACCGGGACTTGCCTTAGAACCCTCCTCTGGAGCCCCAGTGAGATGCCATGTGTGAGGCACTGCCACCCCGCATTCTGTGAGCCTCGGGCCCCTGAGGAGTGTTAACACGAGGGGCATCAAAAGTTTGTGGAGAAATGGAATGAAAAGATCATGGATTTTCCCTCAAAACTTCTAGAAGCCGCCTTGTATACAGAGCCCCCGAGAAAGGGAAAGAGCCCCAGACCTGAGAGCAGAGGGAAGCCTGGGATGAAATGCACTATGCATGTGGCCAATAGGAAGCCAAGGAGCCCGTGGTAGAGCGGTTAGTCCTCAGGTAGCTGGTGATCCTTGTGCTTGGCTGCTGGCTGGCGATGGTCATGTGCCGCTGTCAAGTCTGTGCTGACTCACTGCGACCCTGTATCCGATTTCCAGGGCTGTAAGTCCTTACGGGAGCAGAAAGCCTCATCTTTCTCCCATGGAGTGGCTGCTGGGTCCAAACTGCAGACTCTTCTGTTAGCCACCCAACTCGTTACGCTTCCAGGACTCGTGCTTGAGTAAGCACGTCCTCTTTACTCTCGTCTCCCTAACTACAGCCATCATTCCACCTGGGTGGTGGTCACGAGAAGGGCGCCGCCCCCATGTACTGTCAGTGCCCTGGGCAGGCACCTGTGTGTCCTAGCAGGAGAGGGTCTGGGGCGGCATCACAGCCACTCAGGACTCTCATCACCATGCAGTGTGGTCCTTTGAGGTGGACATGTATTTCAGAGCCCGAGGCTGGGAGGTGTCCAGTCCTCAGCCTGTCATCTCCCAGCGAGCCAGTGGGGAGCCAGAGTAGATGGGCAGTTAGTTCATTAGGAGCCTCACATTCGAAGCTTCTGATTGCTGACATCTTTGAGTCTTGCTACTCAGGTACTAGGTCATACATGCACATGTTCATTCCAAACACAATATAGCTCTGTGAGCCGTGGATGGCTGTAGACAAGTTCTCCCAGTCATACGCCTGTCTTAGGCTTGTTGTTGTTAAGTGCTGTCGAGTCGATTCTGACCCATAGTGATCCCTGTACAGGATTTCCAAGGAGCAGCTGGTGGGCTTGAACCGCTGACCTTGCAGTTCAAATGGCTTTACAGTCTGGCGCATTAATCCACAGTGCCACACCAGGACTCCTAGGCTTGTTAGGGTGCCTTTAAAAAAAAAAAGTTCCAATCAAAACAGTGGCTTCCTTGGGGATCCACTGCATCCCTAGTTCAGTTCAAGGCCGAGGTCAGCTCAGAAGGTGATGGGGACTGTTTTGGGTTCCAGAGGATCCGCTGGACCAGTTCAGTTCAAGGCAGAGAGGTCAGCTCAGAAGGTGATGGGGACTGTGTTTTGGGCTCCAGAGGATCCGCTGGACCCCCAGTTCAGTTCAGGGCTGAGGTCAACTCAGAAGGTGATGGGGACTGTGTTTTGGGCTCCAGAGGAATAATCTGGATAGACTTTCCCAAAGAACAAGGGACGATCATGAGGACCTATTCTGAAGAAATTGTAAGAAAACTGAAAATTGCTTCGGTGAGAAAAAGGCCAACAAAATTGTGCTGAGGAATTTGTTCCATTACGGCATTGTACCTGCTCATTGCTGAGGGTAGAAAGGGTGTCCTGTGGGAATTTCATTGGGAAACCCTGTCATATCCATCCTCCGCCCTGATCTTGCTCCTTCAGACTTCTTCTGGTTCCCCAAACTCAGAGAACATTGAAACACGGAGCACAGTGTGAGTCCCTGGAGGACACCCAGACTCCCCAGTAGATGGAACAGTGCCTTCTGAAGTGTGTAGACAAAGAGGGAGGCTATGTTGAAAATAGCTTCACATTTGGCAGTTCTGCTTAATAAAGTCATTTATGATTTTGTAGCAATACTTCTTTTAGTAACTCTAGTTTTCCAAGTTTTGTATTTACTGTGTAATGTCTAATGACTCAGTGTTTGAAGTAGAAGTTGGAAATAGATCTTTCCTTTGAATTTCTTGCAGGACAAAGAGACAAAAACTGGGACGTGTGGTTATTGTGGACTCCAGTTCAAGCATCATCATCACTAGAGTGTGCAGTGCGCCCTTGGGTCTCAGGAGGCAGTCTATGTGAGGACTTTGATATTAAAATTAAAATAGAAAAAGATCATGAGTGTGTGTTTTAGAATTTTATTTGAATAAAGGATATTACTGTAAAGAGTCAAGACTCCTAAGTTGCCTTCTTTGTTCTTCATAGAATGAACTTTTGGAAATGAATATTTACTTAGAAATTAGAATTGAAAATAGTTCTACCTCCAGGGTAATGTTGCTGACAGATAGATACCTCTGCATGAATAATTTCTGTTAGCTGGAACAGCGCAAGTCTGGCTCCTGTGAGGCAGCGGTTAAAGATGTCCTAAGTGTTCAAATTTTCCAAACTGCTGTGGGACTCCATCTTCACTAACAGTGATACCTCCTCCTCCCCTGATTCTTTCCCACCTTGGCCTCTCTAATTTGCTGCAAAGTCTCACAGAACTCACGAACCATCGAGGAAATGGTTCACACAGTTGTGGAGGCTGGCATTCCCGAATCTGTGGGTCAGGCGCCAGTATGGAGGCCTCCTCCAGCTCACACAGGGTTGCAGGGTCTGGTAACAGGCTGCTGGCCCAAGCCCCAGAGGTCAGATGCTGCAGAGTAACCGTGAAGACCACCACAGTAACATCCTTGAATGTTAACTGTTTCCAGTGCTTTGGACTTCGTCGTCTTCTCTTGGGGCCAATCAGAAGAAGACAAGCCTATGGGAAGACAGAGAGTGGTGAGACCGAGGAGTGCACTCACCATGATGAGAAGCTCTCCTGATCATGGTCTTTACTCACCTGTGGCTGCTGACGCTTTCTCACCTGAACCTGGAGTCTTGGCCCCTCATCAACAACCCTCACCTTTGTCCATTTCTTCATGCTCTCACGTATCTTCCTTCTTCTTTGAAGACAAGATCTTCCCTCCGTCCTGCTCTCCCCGGGCAGCGGAACAGCCCCGGTGTCATTCAGGGATGGTCTTCACATTCTGTCACAGGGCTGGTTAGAAGTCATTTCATCTCCAAATGGATCTCTGCTGCCCAGGGTGACATCTTCACACCTCAATTTGAAAGCTCTTCTTCCCATACATCCAGGACCCAGAGGTGGACTTTCAGGAGCCAGGGGTCCTCCCTTTCTCTGCACAGTCCTCTCAGGGCAGGCAGTGATGTGAGTGGACTATGTGCTTAAGAAAATCCACTCTGGGGCCTATGTCCACTCGGTCATCCCACAAAGCTGCACCAGAACTCCTGTCTCCAGAGTCCTCATGGCCTGCGGCTCCCATTGGCTGTCACAAGAGCCCTTCCAATCCACACCATTAACTAACCCGATAATAGCCATGTCGACCACAGTCTCTCCAGTCTCTCTTCTCAAAATTTCTCTTCAGCAAACTGGTCATGGTTCCACTCAGCTGTCTGCCTCAAAGTCCACACGCTGGAGAAGCAGCTAAGGAACATTTTGGTTGCATTTGTTCAAAGGCTGATCTGTTCTTTCTGGCCCAAACCCAAAACCAAATCCAGCGAGTTGATTCCAACTCGTGATCTCTAGGTGGCACAAGGGGTTTGCAGTTTGAGCCTAGCCAGCAGCAGCAGGGAAGAAAGGGCTGGTGATCTGCTTCGGTAAGGATCGCAGCACTGCTACTCTGTAATACCTGGGGTCCTGGTGGGTTCTCCTGGCAGTCTGTGGTGCTCAGTGTTCTTTGCCAGCACCAGCGATTGAAAGCATCAATTCTCTCTCCTTTTTTTCACTGTCCAGCTTTCCCATGCATATGCTGCTGCTGCTGGTGGTATCGTGCCGTGGAGTTGGTTCGGATCATAGTGACCCCAAATCGGGTTTCCGAGGCTGTAAATCTTTATGGGAGCAGAAAGCTTCATCTTTCTCCCATGGAACAGCTGGTAGTTTCAAACTGCTGACCTTAAGGTTAGCAGCCCAACTACTAGCCACGCCGCTACCAGAGCGCCTTCCATGCATATGAGGTGACTGAAAAGACCTTGGATGGGGTCAGGAGCACCTCAGCCATTAAGAGCGGAGTCATTCAGACCTTTCTCTAGGCTGATCCAAAAACAAAGCACTTTGTGGATAGAGAGGTAGCTTGTCTTAGGCACAGAGCATTGTGGGGATTTGTTCAGTGTGGCTAAGTCAAGGCAACTCTGTTTTTGAGGATTTCTGAGGCTGAAAATCTTTGTGGGAGCAGAAAACCTCATCTTTCTCCAGAAGAGTGGCTGGTGGGCTCAAACCACCGACCTTGTGGGTCACAGTCCAGTGCCTACCGTGCAGAGCCACTGCTCCAATCATGGAAATAGGAGTCTCCTTTCCTGTTTCTCTTGGTGAAGAAATCTTCTGAATAGACAGAGAAACTCAAGTAGTTTGCCTAAGAAAGGGGAAAAGGTTCCATTACCATTCACCACTTAATCTTGAGACATAAAAAGGAAATAAGTATTTATGAAGTCAGATGAAAGAAAATGAAAAGCTATTAAAATGTGAGCCCACATCAGCTGGAATGGATGGCCCCAGAGAAGAAGGAATTGAATTCCTGTACCCTCGGAGCTTTCTTCTTCATTGGCAGGCAATTGCCACCTCCCAGTTGAGATGGCTTGTTTTCCTCTTAAGTAATGTTACTCACTATAGGATAGAGTTGCTGTTACGTGCCATTGTGTTGATAGTGATTCTTAGATACTCTATGTACAACAGGACGAAACACCGCCTGGTCCTGTGCCAACCTCACAATTGTTGCTATATTTGAGTCCATTGCTACTGCCACTATGCCAATCCATGTCATTGGAGGGGGGGGGGTCTTCCTTTTTTTTCTCGTACCCTCCACTTTATCAAACATATCCTTCTCCAGTGACTGGTCCCTCCTGACAATATGTCCAAAGTATGAGAAATGATGTCTGGCCATCCTGGCCTCCACGGAGCACTCTGGCTGCACTTCTTCCAACATAGATCTGTTGGTTTTATGGGCAGCCCATGGCACTTTCAATATTCTTCTTCAAAACCATAACTCTAATGCATCAATTCTTCCTTATTCTCTGTCCCACTTTTGCATGTACATGATGAGGGTATTGGAGTACATGGTGGTGGTGGTGTGCCGTGGAGTCGGTTCTGAATCATAGTGACCCTGTACAGGGTTTCCGAGGCTGTAAATCTTTATGGGAGCAGAAAGCCTCATCTTTCTCCCACGGAACAGCTGGTAGTTTCAAACTGCTGACCTTGAGGTCCGCAGCCCGATTCGTAACCACTATGATACCAGAGCTTAGCAGGTACATTTCTTTTTCCCTTGATCACCCAACACGTCAGCAAGGTCCATGGGTTTGTCTGAGATTTACAGATGAGGAAACAGAAGAAGCACCTTGTCAGGTGTGGTGGTTAATGTTATGTGACACCTTAGGGTGGCCATGATACAGTGCTTTGGCAGATACTGGACTGTTTGCTCATCCATATTGTAATATAATGTAATTATCTTCGGTGTGATGTGACCAGATATTCAGTTGAAAGGAGGGTTTCCTTGGGGGGTTTGTTCTGCCTCCAGAATATAAATCTTCTGACAAAGCTCCCTCCCTCCCTCTCTATCCTACATTTTCTTGTCACCTGACCTTGGGATCTTGGGCTAGAAACCTGTAGCAGGATCTGGCCTACTGCTCCATCTGCAGATTTTTGATTCATCAGATTCTGAAGCCCTGTGAGTCAGCCAGCGTCTCCACTGTGCTGGCTGGACTATGGGTCTGGTACTTACAATCCGTACAATTGTGGGAGCTTTTTCCTTGAAGCAAAATCTCTCTCTCTCTCTAAACACACACACGCACACACACACACACATGAGGGTAGGTCATCCATGCATTTATCCCATGGTTTAGTTCAAACAAAATGTGTTTAAACATGTGTCTGTGCTCCGTGGAGGGCTGCAGACAAGTTCTCTCAATAAGACATTCTGTTGTTGTTGTTGTTGTTAAGGGCTATTGAGCTGATTCCAATCCATAGCGACCCTGTATAGGATTTCTGAGGAGTGGTTAGCAATCCAGTGCTTATCCTACAGCGCTACACCAGTACTTTGGTGGTGGTGATGGTGGTGTGCCGTGGAGTTGGTTCTGACTCACAGTGATCCTGTATAGGATTTCTAAGGCTGTAAATCTTTAGAGGAGCAGGAAGCCTCATCTTTCTCCTTTGGAGAGGCTGGTAGATTCAAACAGCTGACCTTGTGGCTAGCAGCCCAGCTCGTGATCCACTGCACTACCAGGACTCCTATATAGGACCTTGTTGTTGTTAAGTGCTGTTGAGTCGTTTCTGACTCATGTTGTTGTTATTGTTAAGTGCTGTGAACTTGATTCTGACCCACAGCGACCCTGTATAGGGTTTCCAATGAGCGGCTGATGAGGTTGAACTACCAAGCTTATGGTTCAAGCCAGCTTTGCAGTCCAGTGCATTAACCCACAGCGCCACACCACAACTTCATATAATGTTGTTGTTGTTAAGTGCCGTCGACTCGGTTCCAACCCATAGTGACCCTGTATAGGGTTTCCTAGGAACTTCTGATGAGCTTGAACCACTGATTTTTGTGGTCAAACCAACTTTGCATACCAGTGTAACCCACAGTGCCACACCAGGACTCTCTCTCT